AAACATCAAGTAATCAAGTTTGACGACCCGCAAACCCACAAAGAGAATAGAAGCAAACAGTTCCGCTAATGGTTTTGCGTTTTGTCTTAATATATATATATATATTTGTATACATATGTTTATTTTTCAAATACATTTCTTTTGATAAGGTAAATCGTGAACCAGTAGCAGTGAAATTGTTTGCTTTGGTAACATAACTGTAACTTATGAATATCCGGTCCATTTTTTCCAAAGTGGTCAGTGCACGTTTGACCCGCACATTAGGACCGCTGATAGCGCCCACTATCGTGTTTGGCCAGGCCCTTTATCTACGTAAACACAACTACCGTGAAGGACTATCGCCAAGACTTGATTCCATGTCGAAATGTCAACAACCCATGTCGGAACTCCAGTGCCACCGCTGCCTTCCGGGACACAAAGCAAGAAAGTATTTGAATAAAATTATGTTGATTTATTCGTCCAGAAATCCAAAATTATAAATAACCAGAATATAGATATGACTGGATGCCTTGTCCTGAACAAAAATAGTGTCACAAGTTAAGTTATCGATGATGATGACGATGATGATGGAACTCTACCGGAACAAATTCAGACACACTCTTAAAAAGTCGCTCTCTGTTTCTAGCATAATTTGCCTGCATTCTTCGATGTTTCAAAGTTGAGGGCGAAAGCGACTTGTTATTTCAGAAGAAAGCAGCTGGAAGCAACGAAACTAGTCAAAAATACTCGCAACAAATTCTACACAGAAATAATCGTTCACTTCAGAATTCTGTACAGACATGATAGAAGTGTGCCGTATTATATACATCAGTTACCCCAGGAAGCTTAACTAAGAACGCCGTAGACTAGACATTAGAAAGTATCCGTTTTCACAACGAATGGTCAATACGTGGAACACTTTGACTGAAAACGTTACATCACCCAGCACACTCAATACATTTAAAGGAAATCTGCACGAACGTTGGAGAAAACAACCCAGCAAATTCAGACCAGACAGCTATCGGGTTTTCCGGAACTAAAAAAACACAACTGTGATGGGTAAGAGATGCATGTGCCGACTGAAAGACAACAGGTTACAGTTATGGCAAAGTATCTTATAGGACTAGAGATGGTGTCAGTTTGTTTTGGTAATCGCTGACATACGCATGATAATCATTATGATAAAAACTTCATTAAGCCAGAACCTAATATACATTTGGTAAGACCTTTTTTTATGTAACATCTATCGTTATACTGCATATTAATGACATTGTTAATAACACCACTGACAGAAGGCAAAAAGGACAGTCAAATGAAATCCCTGTTTTTCGAAGTTCGAAAATCAGTCAGTAAAATACTAGTAGATGCTAGTATCTTTTTTTCCCGCTTAAATTAAAATCCCTCTTCATAACAAGCGTATCTGCCCATGTTAAGATTTCATTTGATACAGCAAAATCATTTCATTAATGCTAGCCCACCGTATGTAAGATTTTGAGAGATAGCTGCGTAGTGGTACATGGATCAAGACTCTACGAGTCTGAGAAGAGCCATAGATAACCTCGCTATCATCCCGCTGAAATCTACATAAAAAACATGGCGGTTTCTTGTTTATTGCTTCTCCGATTTCGCCTACAAAACGGCGATGACGTCATCCACTTGTAATCTTGTAATCGACAACATCAGGGGATGTAGATGTGTATTTCAGTGTTCGTTTTTTTTCATTTGCAAGCTTATCGAGATAAAATCTTGTGTTTAATGTTTCAAGGAGTCCCAGCTTTATAGATATTTACGAATACATTTATAGACGTTCTAGGACGTTTTTTCTTGTCCAGTATAGACTGACTTGACACACCATTTACCATACAAATACAAATGAAAAACAAAAACTGGAAATAATAAGAATTGTTGATATATTGATCTATTGCAAAGAAATACAAGGAATTCAGTAAATTGCAGGCAATTGGCGAAGGCTGAGAGCGTTAACTGAATATAACTGGAAAATTAGAAAAATGTATGGATGTGTTTGAATTCCTAAAAACTTCAAATTGAAGGGAACTCCAGCATTGAAAAGAATGCTGTGGGCATCAGTTTAATACAAAGGCACCAAACTAAGGAATACATTGATAAACAGTAGACATACAGAGATACACTGGAACAAAGGTGTATGGAAACAGACAAAAACGTCAGGGGTAAACATGTTTTTGCAATGAGCCGTTATGTATCAAAGCTAATGGATAATAAATAAGGCACAACGGCTTGGAATGATAAATCGTAATCAACGCAGGTTAGGGAAACCGCCACGCCCGGAAACGTCATTGTGAAGGGGGAGGAGGTGGTGGTGGAATGAGGGGGAGGAAATCCTGTGTACAGGAATAGATCTACAGTCCTAAATATATGGTTCTTGTCAAAACAGCAACATGTACTGTCTGCTGATTAGTCTGGAGTGGAGGGAGGTTCTATAAATAGATTTCCTTGTCCATATTTTCTCCTTATTTCATTTTCGATTTTCTGAAATATTGTTTCGTTCTTTTGTGCCTACTGTTACCGTGACTGGTATTGTCGTTACGTTGGTGTGAGCCGGGTTTCAGTATTGTGGTTGGCACCAGATCAGCTGTTCAAGTGCGTATACTTGTTTTCTTCTTTCAACTCCAAACCTTTCACCTTCACAAACATCCCTTATCAAATGTTCCCGTAGCCGAACTCATATTCAGCGCTCAGCAGAACGTTTCGTTCAAACCATCCTTTGTTCGTGAATATTGTGTGACTACCAATACACATAAAGCATCACTGTTTCACCAACATTTGTGTATAGAATGATACTCTTTGTAGGTATGGTATTGGAACATCTGGTAAAGTGTGAAACTTGCGCTCTTGTTGAACATGTACAATGCTAATCTAACAACCAAACTAAGGACTGCTGGTCAAAACCTGATAAAGATGACAACGTTATGATTTTGACGTTAGAACTTAGTCCCTTATTTTCCAATCACTATTTCGAATTGAGCTCTTTAAACGGCTGGAACCGATCTGTGACCTTTTGAAAATATACTCGGCCTTTTAAACCCTTACTCTTCTTTATTGTCATGTTTTCGTTTCGGCGACCATGCAAAACAATTCTTTTGTGTAACTTACACGTGTTATACTGAATATAGCTCTACTCTGACAGGTATATCTGCGTCTTTACAGATACGCGTGATATGTCGACACACGCTCCCAAACTGTAACGTTTTTGTAGCAAAATTTCAATTCCGAGAGGATCTCAACCCATATTACCCAGTCGTTATGACGTTGACTCCTCGTTGCAATAGTCACACCTGGAATGGGCGCTTCCTTGAATTATCGATCGCAACATCTCGACAATTTCCGCAATAGCTTCTTATAGTCCGAGCCTTTACGGAAATTGCCGAGATGTTGCGATTGGCAATCTCTCACGAACTTAAAAGCAACCAAAAACAGACAAAAAAGAGAAAAGAAACGGATTGGTTCTTTACTTCTTAAAAATTTCCAATTTACATAACTTGAATACGACATTTGGAAGGTTAAGTTCAGTTTAGAAGGTAAAAAAATGACGATAGAAGAAGCAAGATGAGATTTTATGGGGACGTAGGGGCTTCGTGTGGACTGGATATCGATCCAACATAACTATATTGGGGTTCCATTAATCGTTCTGTACTACAGTTATCCGGAGACTTAGAATGACGTTAAAATAAGTTAGAGTTCTGAGAAGTAATGACGTCACGAATTTAGTACAGTAATAGTGTGGCAAAGTCAAAATATTGTAGTTCCTTATAGAGTTGAATGTATAAGTTCTGATAGATGTTTACTTGTACAGGACGAGAAGCGAGATCAATGCATCAGATTTCTCCCTCGCTCCTTTCCGCCAGTGCCAGATGTAAGTAGAACTTGGCACTATACTTTCATCGCGATGATTTTATTCTGATCACAACACAAAGGTAAATCGTCTTCAGAGCACGAGATGGGGTGGGTGGGGGGGGGGGGGGGGGAATGACGTCAACGGTATAATATAGGCCTATGTCGATAACATATCGGGTGCAAGGAATCCACGTATCTTTGACGTCATTCATAACTTGAATATGTCAGACTCATAATGCCATTGTATAATTTGATGTTCCTTTTATCTAAAGAAAATAAAATATTTCTGTCAACTTCAAACATTTCTTCAAACGTTGTCACGTGTACATGCAAAATTAAACTTTATGTTCAAACTTAACATTACAAGAAAAAACATCCAAATTTTCCATGTAGTAATTGTGAAAGTCCCCAATGTACTAATGTAACATTTCAGTATTAAGTAGTCACTGAAAGTTCATAAATAATTGTCTTAAATTCATGGAAAACGAATTCGTATCCATGAAATATGCAGCTTGTCCTCATCAGTTTGAGAAACAGTTTAGCCCCACTAACCTCCGACCATCAGTCTCTCTGTTAACTCATATGATACCCACGAGGCACATTTGTATCGACAGAAAACACCTTTAACCAAAACACCAGCGGAGGTAAAAACTGGTGCTTAGTCTGAAGTGGTCGGCCGTCTCACCACCTACCAATTAATCCGCAGTAAACAGACCCTTCACTGTATCGTTTCTGGGCACTTTAAACACAAGTCTACGCTACAAGATCAAGACCTCCTGCTAGGCGGCTCATAGTAAATATAAAAACCTCTTTCACATCTTTAATAAACTTTGGATTCGGAGTTCTTCTAATATAGAGATTTTGTATCTTTTCTGAGTATTTTTTTTATGAAAAATTGCCATTATGAATTGAACTACACTAAAATTCCCACACAATAACATTGATTTTATGAAAGCTAAAGTAAATGAAATATGAATCCAATGCCCCTCCTCCCCATTTCGAAAAACATCTAATTCATCTGCTTTTTTTATCTTTTATTTCAAATTCTGAAATCAACTTAAAAACTTAATATAATTAATTTTCATTTTCGTCTGAAATTTTGCTTTTATCATTGTTTTTATTGACGATATATTAAAAAGTGGACCTACCTTTGGTGGCATTTTCGTTCCCGAGTTCCTTCACTTTTCACTCAGTCCTTAGAACTACCGTCAGATGTAATATGAAAGATAGATATTGCCAACAGGAGGTACCAAACTAATGTTACTGGCTCTCGCGCCGGCTGTTCCATAAATAATTAGGGGAGGGAAGGTATTCGCATTATCAGCTAATAACTACACAGCAATTAGGGCGTTCGTCATTAGTTATACATATACAAATATACGATGCACGTGCATAAAACCAGGTCGGTGTAGGTCAAACTCGCATCGTTTTTTGTTTGATTGGCAATAATTATTGTTTTAATCTAAATCTTCTCTCTCCTCCTGGCCGTGAAGAGTTCCAATGCCGCTTACAGATAGTGGGAGTTTATTTCTGAAATAGATGGGAGAGCGTAAAATCGGCAAACATTACGCACATGTTCCGCACGTACAATCACTCTATCTCCTGCGAGGTCACGTGAACTCAGAAATGTTAAACGTTCGTGCCGAGTGAAGATAAAAGTTCCAAAATACACAGACGTCAAATGTACGTATGTGTGAAAAGGAGATTACTTTGGGTCTACAGTACATTTACAGTACCTCTCTGCCTAAATGGCATTTTAAACGTGTACTTCTGATTTTTAATACCATTTGCAATATTTTATTCATTTACCGAAATAAAGTTCTCCGGGGATTTTTTTTTTTTTGTAATTAGTTTTGGGTTTGTAGACTTAAGATCGAGTTTTGTTAATACATGTCTTTGTGTTGATGATCAACAGTGAACATTCCAGAACACCCTAACTTTTTTTGTAGTACATTTTCCCATTATTTATCTCAAACTCCATTTTTTGTGAGAAGTAGACGAAGGGTTGGATATCTTTTAAGTATTTCTGTACAATGTAAGCATTAAATGTACAGAGAAACCTATTCAGTCCCAACCCTTTGCTTCCCGGAGAAAATACATTGAACTATCAGCTTGCACTTGGCTATGAAGGTGACCTCAAACTTTCGCGTCCGAACCAAGGTACAACGTAATAGAACCATGGTTGTCCTAATGGATGGCGTGTACACTATCCACTATGCCACCAGTGAATCCGATTTATCCGAACCATTCCAGTCCGGACATACAAAATCCGGTGTATATAGGTAGTTAACCTTCAATATCACACTATATATTTATATATAATTTTGTACGTCTGCTTTAAACATCCTGTCGATTCTGGTCTCGATTATAATAAATGATGGCCTCTATTTATCGATACATACATTATCCAAGTTCAGGTATTTTTCCGAGCTTGCAGTTTGAAATAATTCAAAATTCCGTGATGTCCTTTTACTAACGATCAAATGATATTTTAACAGATGAAAACTTCGCGATCTGGATGTAAAGAACATCTTATACATTCGTGTCTCATTATTTCACCGAAAAAAATTGGTTACCACGCGAAAATAAACGGCTGTACGGTATATATTGAAGATCTGTAAAAGCAGACTACAATTGATATCAACTCTTCTCTCCATCGATTAGATTTATATTGAACACTGTAGATTTATAAAAAAAAACTCAAAACTACTATGGTGTACATAATTTCGGAAATACGCCGTTTTGAAATATATGACTTAAACTGTAGACTTGTGTACTTAAACTGATCGACCCGGTGGTCATCGTTAGTGGTCACTACTCTAGTTGTACAGAGTATAGTACATGTTCTCACAGCTGTATACTTAATGCTTGTGTTACTAAGACAATATAGGAAAGGGTCAAATTATCTAAAAACTGAAACAAAATCCTGAGTAAATACAGTAAATTAACCCCCAAACAGAAATCACATGGGTCGCTCACGTGTCGTTTTTGACAAGTATTGGTAGATATCGTAGATAGGGACAGCAGCTAATAGAAAGCTGATTCTAGATGTTGTCGAACATAAAATCAACGAAGCGTGCTGCTTCTATAAAAAATAATTTGTATGATGCTGGCATGAACAAACCTGAAGCTAAAACTTCTGTTTATCAAACTAAGCAGATTCAATATTAAAGAAAAATAAAGGATTTTGTTTTGCAGACATAACTTTATATTAGAAATACTACATTTTCCCTATATAAACACGGCAAATCTAATGAAACGTTTCTGCTATTTGTATGGTATGCAGTGAAATCGCCACACAGAGCCAAGAACTCGCACGCATTTATTTAACAGATTTTTTTCTGAATAAACATGAACAAGTGTATTTCGTGGTCATTAAAGTTATAGTAAGCTTGAACTATAAAACAAACGTAAATTTCTGTAGAGTGTGTATGAATTATATACACAACGAGTTACCTTCATTGATAACATCAGTGTGATCACACAATCCACAATTATTCTTAAAACATGATAAACGTTTGAAGGAGTTATGTACCCAATGATTAAACTAACTATTCTTTTAATAGACAGTACAAGACCAACACATCTGATAACGATTACGTTTTGATATTTAAGTACCAACCGTGAAAATCATCAAGGGTTCATTAACGTTTGTTTTGATTCTGAAAATAGCTATACAGATTTGTTACAAACACTAAAGCGTTTGTCTGACGAGGATTCTGTGTTGATACTGACAGCCTTTTGATCTCGGCGATGTTGATTACTGATATAAATCTTGTTGTAAGCAATTCGACATTTTTTTCAGATTATGTACATTCTAAGCGCGCGTGTACAACATAGACTTTCACTTCCTTAGAAATATCTTAAAATCTTAATACACCTCTTTTGCCTTCCCTTTGATGAAGGATTTCGAGGTACAGCGATTTATTACAATTATTTGTTTGATTTTGTGTAGCGATTGGTGCATCACGCACTCAAAAATATTAAGAGATAAAACTGAAATTATATAACATAAAATAGTCCTCACGAACTGATTTCAGCTGTTTGAGTCTGCAAAAGACATTACAATGCATATAGAAAATATGATTATAGTGATCGGAATGTTCGCTCTGATTTTTAGTATCGATTACAATGACAAAACTCTGCAGGTAAAATTATATAATATAATCATAGACTTTTGATAAGTCTAATACATGGCTTTATTAGCTAAAGATAAAATATCGGCCGATAGTGAAAATTATATAATAAATAAGGGATTACTTATAGTAAGGGGTTGGTATAAAACAAGGATTACTTATAGTAAGGGATTGGTATAAATAAGGGATTACTTATAGTAAGGGACTGGTATAAATCAAGGATTACTTTAGTAAGGGACTGGTATAAAACAGGGATTACTTATAGTAAGGGACTGGTATAAAACAGGGATTACTTATAGTAAGGGACTGGTATAAAACAGGGATTACTTATAGTAAGGGACTGGTATAAAACAAGGATTACTTATAGTAAGGGACTGGTATAAAACAGGGATTACTTATAGTAAGGGACTGGTATAAAACAAGGATTACTTATAGTAAGGGGTTGGTATAAAACAAGGATTACTTATAGTAAGGGGTTGGTATAAAACAGGGATTACTTATAGTAAGGGGTTGGTATAAAACAAGGATTACTTATAGTAAGGGGTTGGTATAAAACAAGGATTACTTATAGTAAGGGGTTGGTATAAAACAGGGATTACTTATAGTAAGGGACTGGTATAAAACAAGGATTACTTATAGTAAGGGGTTGGTATAAAACAAGGATTACTTATAGTAAGGGGTTGGTATAAAACAAGGATTCTTATAGTAAGGGGTTGGTATAAAACAAGGATTCTTATAGTAAGGGATTGGTATAAAACAAGGATTCTTATAGTAAGGGGTTGGTATAAAACAAGGATTACTTATAGTAATTACTTATAGTAAGGGGTTGGTATAAAACAAGGATTCTTATAGTAAGGGATTGGTATAAAACAAGGATTACTTATAGTAAGGGAGGGATTACTTTAGTAAGGGACTGGTATAAAACAAGGATTACTTATAGTAAGGGGTTGGTATAAAACAAGGATTACTTATAGTAAGGGACTGGTATAAAACAGGGATTACTTATAGTAAGGGACTGGTATAAAACAGGGGTTACTTGTAGTAAGGGACTGGTATAAAACAGGGGTTACTTATAGTAAGGGACTGGTATAAAACAGGGATTACTTGTAGTAAGGGACTGGTATAAAACAGGGATTACTTGTAGTAAGGGACTGGTATAAATCAAGGATTACTTGTAGTAAGGGACTGGTATAAATCAAGGATTACTTGTAGTAAGGGACTGGTACAAAACAAGGATTACTTGTAGTAAGGGACTTGTATAAAACAAGGATTACTTGTAGTAAGGGACTGGTATAAAACTCAATATAACGGAATTAAAATTAAATATATGTTTTCCTGGTCGGAACCTAAAATCCTAACTTGTACAAATCGCGATACTGACTTAAAACCCGAGATGTCATTCATATTGTCTTAACTTTACAGTCTTATCTCACAGAAGTAGATGTGTTTTACATCTATTGCAGCAGACACAAGTTATCACTGTCACAAGTCTTGTATCCCTTGTGCTCACACCCGAGGAGAGACATCAACATTAACAACAACTTTTTCCTAGAAACAGATTGTTGTAGTTTTCATTCAAAGTAAACGAATTTCAATAAATTTTCTTTGGGATTAAATTGTGGTGATGTTTCATATCCGTATGTGCAAATCTACGTCTGTAAGCATATAACGCTCGCTTTGGGCACTGTTCTATCTTCCGTTTCTTGTCATTCTATTGCAACAAGATATGATAACTCATGATTGAGGCTTCAATATCTTTATGTAGGACTGGAAAATAGATAACATACCCGTATCTACCATAGTTTGAAAATCATATACGGCTGAATGAACATATATGGACCAAAACGAGAGTTACAGCGTACAACGTATTTATTTCCGTGTAAAAATTGACATTGAATGGACATTTCTCATGCAGATTTGGCTCTGTATGATAATGTCACATATACAACCATTATATTGTGACAGTTGTAAAACTCAAGATTAACTAGAACAGGTTCACTAAATATAAGACCAACTGAAGGTCGATATACTCGACACTCCAGGGGTTACGTTTACTTTCTCTCTCTACATCCCTGGAACCATCCTCGACACTCCAGGGTTACGATCACTTTCACTCTA